ATCGAATCAATCACTGATCGAATCAATCACTGATCGAATCAATCACTGATCGAGTGATCACACAAAACAGCCACCCCCCATTTTGTTATTCAAGAATTTAATATTTAAGTTAATTTTAAAGCCTAATTTATAAATACATTTTTGTGGATACCAGGAGTAGAGCGACAAACTACCAATTAAAAAAAAATACTTATATGACATTTCGTCAGCCGAAACGGTACTCAAGTTATCGTGTTTACAGACACACATACACACATACCGACCGACAGTTACATAGGCTCTACTCCGTATAGTAAACCGTACGGAGGTTTAAAAAAAACGAGAAAACTTATTTCTAATCATAGCTTAGAAAGGTCACACCAAACTAAATTTATTCTTTACTTTTTAATTTCACTGAGAAAGTATTGTAATCGTACAAAAAAATTAAACTCGAGATTTTGACAAATATCGACGTTTTACACCCCCCCCCCAGAGTCGGAAAACTGTATGTATTTCTTTGTGTCTGTACATCTGTATATCTGTGTGTCAGTGAGGCTATGTACGTGTCTGTAAACACAATAACTTGAGAACCATTTCAGTTATGGTGGCAAAATTTCATATAATATCAAAATTATAGTTCTGTATTAACTTTTGAGCGATTTCCAGTAACCGGAAGTGGTACTTAACTTTAGTTCTGGCTCAGAGTTTTTTTTCAGGCATCTCTTCGGGGGAGGTGGGGGGGGGGGGGGGAGAAGATAGTCTACCGCCCCCCCCCCCCCCCGGACGAAATGGAATTTCTATAGAAAATATATACTTTTGACAATGTCCGCCCCTTCCCAGAAAATGTTGTCCGCCCCCCCCCTCCCGAAAGTTTCAAGTGACCCCCCCCCCCCGGGAGAAAAAAGTCTGGAAGAAACACTGTTCTGGCTTCTAAAATACCGACATCTTAATTAAGTACAGTTATAATTAGCTAAAGTATAATATATTATTCTCTAGATTCTTTTAAATTTTGAGTGATTTCCTGACAACAAAAGTATTACAGAACGCTATATACAATTTTTGAAACAAGATCACTGTACTGGACCGATGTCTTCAACAATTTTAGGTCAGTCTGGACTCTATGACAGTCAACTGTCACATAAATTTAGTTCAATTAGATGTTTTATTATCTTTTATTTTAAATATGTAATCAATTTTTCTTTAAAAATTGCTAATTGTCCGCACTATCATACATACATTGTGTATGTTCATTTAGTGCGTAATTCTTATACTATATTATATATATATATATATATATATATATATATATATATATATATATATATATATATATATATATATATATATATATATATATATATATATATATGCAGCGACCAGAAAAAACCGTGTACACCTATGCCACTATGCCACTTGTGGAGGTTGTTCAACTGGAACATTCGATCAGGTAAAAATCTGCCACCGTTAAGCTCTACAAAAAAAGCATCGGGGCGGGGTAGAGGATGGGAGGTAGGGATTGCACACACTCCCCCCCCCCCCCCAGCATTGTTTGTTCAAGTAATAAAGGCTGTCCCTAAAATAAAAGTAGAGGAACCCAAGCTTAATCTGTTACATTAAGCTCTGAGCTTAATCTGTTACATTAAACTCTGAGCTTAATCTCTGAACATCATCCTGAGCTTGTTTGATCAGCCAAGATAAAGGGAGGTCATTCAATGATAGAAATACAGAGAAACAGAGTAAAACGTACACAGGAAACCATTACAATCACTTTATCTAGCTTCGTGGTTCATATACTTTTGACCGACTTCTCAGATATGCAGTTAATTATCACAATTTTCGGCGGCCATAAAGGAGTAAAATATGTTTTAAAAACTTGATAATTTCAGGCTCGAAATATTTTTGAGTCCATTTGTGCGGTGGTCGTTGTCTGATGATCGGTAGAATTTGCAATGACATATATATATATATATATATATATATATATATATATATATATATATATATATATATATATATATATATATATATATATATATATATATATATATATATATATATATATATATACATATATATATACCTATATATATATATACGAGCCGACCCGCGGCGTATCATACGCCGCTATTTAGTTGTTTTATTTTCTACTTTATAGTAATATAATTTGTGAATTCGACAGTACCAATGCTGCCACTGAAAATATTTGCTTTAACATACTATCGGTTGGTCCTAATAGGAGTCACTAAACCCGGCTCTATGATTATAGGCATTTAGCGTGAACCACAGCTCACCAGACCATGTGGGGTGGGGGAGGTTGATTTATGCCTAGTGAAGAAGAGAGGGGACTGCAAGGCGCGCTTACAGCTTGTTTTCTAGCGTCTCCCAGAAGAGAATTATATATATACGAGCCGGCCCGCGGTATAACATACGCCGCTATTTAGTTGTTGCTTTTTCTACTTTTCAGTAATTCATAATTTGTGAATTCGACAGTACCAACGCTGCCACTGAAAATATTTCTTTAAAACACTATAAGTAGCTCGTTAAGGACCATAACCCTCCCCCCCTTTCCTCCCCCCCCTACGTTTAAAATCGTTTCAAACAAAATAATCTGCCCCTAATAGTCGTCACTAAACCCGGCTCTGCTTGTAAACATTTAGAGTGAATACAGCTCACTAAGACCATGTAGGGGTGGGGTGGTAGGGAGCGCGTTTACAGCTTGTTTTCTAGCGTCTCCCAGAAGAGAATTATATATATAGATATATATATATATATACACACACACACACACATATATATATATATATATATATATATATATATATATATATATATATATATATATATATATATATATATATATATATATATATATATATATAGGTCTTTTCTTACGGGACGCGTTTTTTTTTACTTACTCGTAAACCGAGTATGGAGAAAGTATTGTAATCTATCGAAGATTTTTTGACGACATTTGACAGTTTTTGATGTTTTGCAGCTTGCCAGTACTCCCGACTGTATCGTGTACGGAATATAAAGGGTGCATTCTAAACGTGTAAAAAATCTAAATTAAGATTTTGATAAAAATCGTGGTTTTATAATCTTCCGAAGACGGTAAAACTTCGTTTTGCTTCTCTGTATGCGTCTGTAAACAAGATAACTAGAGTACAGATTCAGTGATGTTAATTTTTTTGTTTCAAATGTATAGTTTTCTCTCGCTTTTTAACGATTTCCGGGAACCGGATGGGATACATACTTTACTTCCGGTATCTCAAAAGCTGATTACGTGAGTACCGTTAAAGCGAGGTAAACAAAATTTCAAGTATTAGATGGTATGCGAAAGTTCTTTTCAACTTTTGCACGATTTCCAGTAACCGGAAGTGGTACGTGGCTCTATTTTCTTGGCAACACGATGTCTTAAATACTGTTTCAGTTAGGTATATATGATTTCATATATAAGTAGAATCTTATAACTGGATTGCTTTAGAATTTAGAGAAATTACCTCCGATATTCGGAAGTAGCACTTTACTCTATTTCCGTTTCCTAAAATAAAGATAAGTTAAATACCTTTTTAGTTAGATAAACGAAATTTAAAATAAATACAAGATTTTATTCTATTGATTTTCTCCCCTAATTTTTTGAGATTTCCGGTGACCGGAAGTAGTATTTTACCATATTCTCGATTTTTTCCAAAATACCACTTCTAACGGACTGATTCATTTCAAACTTTGCACGTAGGTCGAGACTCGATTACACTGCACTGTGAATTAAACAGTGACTTAAATAGATGGTTAATTAAGTTAAAAAAATATTAATTAATGTTTCTTTATAAAGTACGAATGTTTCGCTCAATTATTTTCAAAATATTTACGTTCATTGGGTGCGCAATTCTTTTTCTACTCGATTCTATTATCTTTAAAAAAATATTTTAAAATAATTTCTTTAAAAAACATTTCTAAAGCCATTATATTAAATTAATTAATTAATTAAACGGGAAAGTTTAGGGGAATTTGCTCGCGCTTTATGTTTGTAGTTCCTGCACTGACTATTTATACCGTCTTTTGTTTAAAATACAATTAATTAATAATTAATTAAGTAGAAGTAAGACTAGAGATCGTGGAACAGTTTGTAATATCCTCCCCCTAACCTCATACACATTATATAACATTTGACTGCGATCCCTCATTATATAGGCCTACCCCACCCCCTGCTCATTATGATGAATAAGGGTGTAGGGCAGTACCTTCCTATCAACCTCCCTCGTGGTATAACCAATGTCTTGAAAAGATCAATGATGATATTTTTAAAGGGAACCACAGATGATTGATGAATCGATTAGACTTCTACGACATGCCGTCTGACGGGTAGACCAACGGGCACATGTGACGTCATACAACATGCCGGACACCGTCTGACGGGTAGACCAACGGGCACATGTGACGTCATACAACATGCCGGACACCGTCTGACGGGTAGACCAACGGGCACATGTGACGTCATACGCAGTGCCGGACACCGTCTGACGGTTAGACCAACGGGTCAGTGTGACGTCATACGAGCACAGACACTGTGACGTCATGACGCCGGACATAATGCACGCCTGACAAGATCAGATTCAATTAGATCACGTGATTGGCCAAAACATCAGCGTAGCCTAATTTGGTGTGTGTGTGTGGGGTGGGGGGGGGGGGTCTGAGGGACGGGGAGAGGGGTGAGAGGTCAAGATTGTGTTGAGGTTCTGGTGATTTAGTGATGGGTTAATTATGGGTTGGGGTCACATTAGCATTGACCGGTAGTCTGACAGACATAACACCGGCAGTCTGAAATTTATAAGACCGGCCGTTTGACAGCCATAAGACCGGCAGTCTGACAGCCATAAGACCGGCAGTCTGACAGACATAAGACCGGCAGTCTGACAGACATAAGACCGGCAGTCTGACAGCCATAAGACCGGCCGTTTGACAGCCATAAGACCGGCAGTCTGACAGCCATAAGACCGGCAGTTGATCGCGAGACCACTCACCTATGGGGATTCCCCCGTTGTAGCCCACTACACCGGTCAGGAGTGAACACAGGATGGGCAGGACGAACATGACGTCATAGTCCGTGGGGGTGGGGCTGGAAATAATCCACCGCATGTCACCTCTCTGGTCTCAGACTGCTGCCAAGTTTTGGTGACGTCACGTTGTGATAGTAACTTGACAATCTGTGTGCCAAGTTTTGGTGATGTCACGTTTAGGAACTTGACAATCTGTGTGCCAAGTTTTGGTGATGTCACGTTGTGATAGGAACAATCTGTGTGCCAAGTTTTGGTGATGTCACGTTGTGATAGGAACAATCTGTGTGCCAAGTTTTGGTGATGTCACGTTGTGATAGAAACTTGACAATCTGTGTGACAAGTTTTGGTGATGTCACGTTTAGGAACTTGACAATCTGTGTGCCAAGTTTTGGTGATGTCACGTTTAGTAACTTGACAATCTGTGTGCCAAGTTTTGGTGATGTCACGTTTAGGAACTTGACAATCTGTGTGCCAAGTTTTGGTGATGTCACGTTTAGTAACTTGACAATCTGTGTGCCAAGTTTTGGTGATGTCACGTTTAGTAACTTGACAATCTGTGTGCCAAGTTTTGGTGATGTCACGTTTAGTAACTTGACAATCTGTGTACCAAGTTTTGGTGATGTCACGTTTAGTAACTTGACAATCTGTGTGCCAAGTTTTGGTGATGTCACGTTTAGTAACTTGACAATCTGTGTGCCAAGTTTTGGTGATGTCACGTTTAGGAACTTGACAATCTGTGTGACTGCTCAAAGATGGAGTGAGGTGAGGTAATAAACTCTTCCAATCTCTCGCTCTAACAAATCAAAGATGGCGTCATGCTGACATTTTGTTCATACTACACCGTCTGACCTGCAGTAAAGACAATCAGAAATTATTTGATTACAAACTTTTCTTTTCCGGCAAGAAATTTAAAAATCTTTTAAAATGACAGATTCAACAGGAGGTTCACTAAAGACACACACCTACACACCAACACACCAAAGTGTACACACCTACACACCCAATTGATATATCAACACACTAATTGTATACACCTACACACCAAATTGATATAACAACACACCAATTGTATACACCTACACACCAAATTGATATATCAACACACCAATTATATACACCTACACGCCAAATTGATATAACAACACACCAATTGTATACACCTACACACCAAATTGATATAACAACACACCAATTGTATACACCTACACACCTAATTGAAATAACAATACACCAATTGTATACACCTACACACCAAATGTACACACCTAAACACCACATTGATATAACAATACACCAATTGTATACACTTACACACCACATTGATATAACAAAACACCAATTGTATACACCTACACACCAAATTGATATATCAACACACCAATTATATACACCTACACACCAAATTGATATAACAACACACCAATTGTATACACCTACACACCACATTGATATAACAACACACCAATTGTATACACCTACACACCTAATTGATATAACAATACACCAATTGTATACACCTACACACCAAATGTACACAACTTCACACCACATTGATATAACAACAGTGAATAGAAAGCTCGTCTCTATTGACAAGACATAGACTACTGTCTATTGACTAGACTACTGTCTATTGACTAGACTACTGTCTATTGACTTGACTACTGTCTATTGACTAGACTACTGTCTATTGACTAGACCTAGACGGGGGTCAGGAAACTGTAGGTGGAGTAGAGTGTGAAACATGTCTGTATGGTGTGAGACAATGGATTTCGATTAAAACCATCAAAGTGTGAAGCTAAGCTCAAGCCTCGATTTGAAATGTGATCCAAACGTCACAAGAAGTGTAGTTTTACACGATAAAAAAGTGTTGTGCTACACAAGAGGTCCGTGGGAAATCAATTCTTCTCCATTCGGCGCGGTTATGAAATCAAGTGGTTAAAAAACCAATCAATAATTAGTGGTTAAAAAACCAATCAATAATTTGTAATTAGAGACCAGGTTCTGGGGTTGCCAGCCCAGAATAATTTCGGAAGTTGGGGGAGGTGAGAGGGGGGGGGGGTGAGGGGAGGGGGTGAGGGAGGTGTAGGGGGTGGGGGGATGATTTGAATATTTTAGTGACAGTAGAACAAAACACAGCCGCCACAATAGGGCTGGTAAGTAAGTCACAAACCAGTTCTGTGGCTAATGCAGGTTTTATTGAGCCGTAGAACTGGTTGGCGACCTACTTACCAGTCCTATTAAGTAAAGTTCCCTTTCGAACCTGACGGTCCATTGGGCAAGTGAAGTAGAAAAGACCTGTTTCTGTAACCTCGGCATATGTGGAGATAGTGTAGTCAACACTATGCCGCCTTTACTTTTCCCTAACCTGAGTCAGGTACCCATTAGAGCTGGGCAGCCTCAGGGACTTTCTACAGACTTGAACCGGGATTCGAACTTCAGACCTTCAAGTCATATGTTCTAACACTTGACCACACCGTCCCGTGCTATAGGGTTAAAGCTCGACATTCCAACCAGACAATATCGACAACTTTTGTGTCACACGTGACCTATAACTTTACGGGACATTTGTTACAAATAACGACATTTGTAGCTATAAAGTAAGATATTTGTAGCTATAACATAAGATATTTGTAGCTATAACATAAGACATTTGTAGCTATAACATAAGACATTTATAGCTATAACATAAGACATTTGTAGCTATAAAGTAAGATATTTGTAGCTATAACATAAGACATTTGTAGCTATAACATAAAACATTTGTAGCTATAACATAGATTTGTAGGTATAACATAAGATATTTGTAGCTATAACATAAGACATTTGTAGCTATAACATAAAACATTTGTAGCTATAACATAGATTTGTAGGTATAACATAAGATATTTGTAGCTATAACATAAGACATTTGTAGCTATAACATAAGACATTTGTAGCTATAACATAAGATATAAAAATAAGACATTTGTAGCTATAACATAAGACATTTGTAGCTATAACATAAGACATTTGTATGTATAACATAAGACATTTGTAGCTATAACATACATTTGTAGGTATAACATAAGATATAAAAATAAGACATTTGTAGCTATAACATAAGATATTTGTAGCTATAACATAAGACAATTGTAGCAAGTTCCTAGTGTGAACGAGTAACGTCCACCTAAAAATAGCACCTGATCTAATTTGCTTATCTCCACTTGACCGCCAATCGCACGCCACCATTTCGGCCATCGGGAAAACCCGCTAGGTCACGTGTTTAGGGACCATCCGATCCCCAGTATACAGGCCTGATGGACCAAATTTTTGATGGACCAAATTTTTGATGGACCAAATTTTTGATGGACTAAATTTTCGGTGGAGCGAATTTTTGATGGACCAAATTTTTGATGGACCAAATTTTTGATGGACCAAATTTTTGATGGACCAAATTTTTGATGGACTAAATTTTCGGTGGAGCAAATTTTTGATGGACTAAATTTTTGATGGACTAAATTTTCGGTGGAGCGATTTTTTGATGGACCAAATTTTTGATGGACCAAATTTTTGATGGACCAAATTTTTGATGGACTAAATTTTCGATGGAGCAAATTTTTGATGGACCAAATTTTCGGTGGAGCAAACTTTTCTACGGAAATATATTAGTAGCGGTTACTTGTTTTAATTACTGATGCTAATATATTTCTACGGAAATATATTAGTAGCGGTTACTTGTTTTAATTACTGATGCTTCAAAAACAGATTCTGTAGCTGGGAATTAAAGGTTTAATGCATCTTTAACTGAGAAGTAGCAGCAAGAAGAGCCGGCATATTATGGATCCATGTATTTATTATCAAACTCTTTTGAAATCTTGGTTTTAGATATTCATAACGACCAACTCTTTAAAGTCCCCTTAGAAAAGTTTCTCCTCATAAAAGTTCACCTTAGAAAAGTCCCCTTGGAAAAGTCCCCCCCCCCCCCCTCTGTCTACCCAAAAGTTTCACCAGAACACCATGTTTAACCAAACTGTAATCTCGGTGCTTTGTAAAATTTAAAAGCTAGGATTGTGTTATCGGCTTACAGAACTCAATCAATTGAAATGAATTACTTTTTTTTTCAGAGAAAAAAAGGGGAATAGCCTCCCTTTATCGTCCAGCCAATCAGCAAAAAACACACGCCCGAGTAAGGGGAGAGAACTCCGATGACAATCAGAGGTAGATCTGGTTTCTTCCAGGCGGGACCACACATTTTTACAGGACCACACAACAGGACCACACATTTTTACAGGACCACACAACAGGACCACACATTTTTACAGGACCACATAACAGGACCACACATTTTTATAGGACCACACATTTTTACAGGACCACACATTTTTACAGGACCACACAACAGGACCACATAACAGGACCACACATTTTTACAGGACCACACAACAGGACCACATAACAGGACCACACATTTTTACAGGACCACACAACAGGACCACACATTTTTACAGGACCACACAACAGGACCACACATTTTTACAGGACCACACATTTTTACAGGACCACACAACAGGACCACATAACAGGACCACACATTTTTACAGAACCACACAACAGGACCACACATTTTTACAGGACCACACAACAGGACCACACATTTTTACAGGACCACACAACAGGACCACACATTTTTACAGGACCACATAACAGGACCACACATTTTTATAGGACCACACATTTTTACAGGACCACACATTTTTACAGGACCACACAACAGGACCACATAACAGGACCACACATTTTTACAGGACCACACAACAGGACCACATAACAGGACCACACATTTTTACAGGACCACACAACAGGACCACACATTTTTACAGGACCACACAACAGGACCACACAACAGGACCACACATTTTTACAGGACCACACATTTTTACAGGACCACACAACAGGACCACATAACAGGACCACACATTTTTACAGAACCACACAACAGGACCACACATTTTTACAGGACCACACAACAGGACCACACATTTTTACAGGACCACACAACAGGACCACACAACAGGACCACACATTTTTACAGGACCACACAACAGGACCACACATTTTTACAGGACCACACAACAGGACCACACAACAGGACCACACATTTTTACAGGACCGCACATTTTTACAGGACCACACAACAGGACCACACATTTTTACAGGACCACACAACAGGACCACACATTTTTACAGGACCACACATTTTTACAGGACCACACAACAGGACCACACATTTTTACAGGACCACACATTTTTACAGGACCACACATTTTTACAGGACCACACATTTTTACAGGACCACACAACAGGACCACACAACAGGACCACACAACAGGACCACACAACAGGACCACACATTTTTACAGGACCACACAACAGGACCACACATTTTTACAGGACCACACAACAGGACCACACATTTTTACAGGACCACACATTTTTACAGG